TCTCTCTGCGAACATCAGACGGATAAGGTATATTAATTGCCTTTGACATAAGGACATCTCCGCTAAAAGAAATTATTGTCTTTATATTGTTGACCTGTACTCGATTGACCATTACAGCATTGATTTTCTGTCTAACAGTCTTGTTTATTATTCTTGTATATTGATGCTAGTCTTGTGAATGAATTAAAAACGACAGTGAAGCATCAACCTAAGAACAAAATTCACGTGGCATTTACCATTGAATAGCCTGATGGACACACGATTCAAGGCATTTGGCCACATTTAAATAAGCAAACGCTAAAAAAAATTGGAAAAACAAAGGCACCTATTTAGCTTTACATAGGCAGTATTAAATTGATTTCTTCGATGTTGTAATTCGATCAGTCTAATAAAAAAAAAGTGTGTGATTTTTTTTTCTATGCTTCGACGAGTAAGTGGGTCAAGGTAGATGTTAATCAGATTGTTATTGGATATATAAACAAGTTTTGTATAAATGTATATCTACCCTGAAAATGCATTTATTGAACGTAATAAAGATTTTATTAGAAATGTTGCTACATATTGATAAAACAAATGCAAAAAAAATGTTTTATATGCAAAAAGAAACTACTAGTAATTAAGTTATATTCATAGATTCATTTTCAGAGCGTTCCTAATAGTCTTATATGCATTGAATATTTTCCCGATATCTAAATCTTTTCTGTTGAACAACTGCTATATATAATGCTTTTTACAAGAACTGTTTACATGTACTGTTTATAAGAGTTGCTGGTCTAATAATAACGCTGTAATAAATTGTTCTTCATCAAATGTCATTTGCATACAGGAGGGTTTGGATGGGGTTTACAGAATAGAGAATAATTGGCAAAAAATATAAAGAATAGAGAAAAATGGACCAAAAAATATTATATAACGTTTTCAGTTACGATAGCAATAAAACAAATTGATGTTAAACACATGGGACGCAGTATTTCATTAAAATATAAAGAAGCTGATGGCCTGTTATTTTCTTTAGGAATGGTTGTTGTTCCAGACGAAATGAATCTGTATTCTTCTTGTACACGAAATGTCTGATTAAAGACATAATAGGAAAAAGATAGAACTACTTGCATATAAGATGTCAAAATGTTCCAAAGCAGATTAAACTAATGTTTCGAGATGAGACTTGGACATCTGTCATGTGACATAATAGCTCCTTCAGACGTTCAGAGCCTGTTAAACTATCGATCAACGTTCCTAAACATTGTTGGACGTGTAACAATGACTCAAGTTGTTGATTATTTTATGTATTTATAAATTTATAAATTGCCTTGCCGTATTGGAAAAGCCTGGGTTTTCAATCAGTGTTTACCTTATCATGGTGTGTATGTTTGAACATGCAAATGATAAGGAAAACATACGACGAGGCAACTCGACCGACCATTGAATTATATGGAAATTCTGTAAGAACTGTAGCATTACAACAATTGATCGAGTCTGTGAATTGAAATATATCCAGTTACAAATTAATTTATATTGTGTGTTGATTATCATTATCATTGTAAAAACACTTGTGTTGATGTTCTTGGTCTATACATTTACCGTAAGACCATAAGCTAAAGATACTACTATGTACAGAAAGATAAAAAAAAATCCTATCATCAACTTAAACATAATTCAAATGTTCTTGAGAATGTAAATGAGAAGTGTTTATAAATTATTGGCTATTCTTTTAAGGTTTTTTAGGTCATATATCTCTTCAACTGTTTCGGTTCTTATACATTTTTGAATTTCAAATATTCGGCTTTGGGCGTTCCTGATGAAGATAAATCCAGAAAAGCGCTTCGGACGCATGCAATTTATAACGTATTGTTTTCATTTTTTTTAATAACTTGTAAGCGTGCCTACAATGCTGTCAATTCGGTACCGACATGATTTACAACAAACCTTTAATTTTCTAAAAGTGTCCGTTTATAAATTTTAGCATTACAAAGAAACAATGGTTTCAACTCCCTCAGGCAAAGTTGACCTTAGATGGATTTGGCTATTTTTTATGACTTTTTAGTCATATAGCTCTTCAACTAATTGGGTTCTTACACATCCTTGGCTTTCAAATATTCGGCTTTGAGCGTTCCTGATGAAGGTAAATCAAGAAAAGCGCTTCGGACGCATGCAATTTATAACGTATTGTTTTCATTTTTTTTAATAACTTGTAAGCGTGCCTACAATGCTGTCAGTTGTTCGCCGACAATTCCATTGTATATTAAAACAACAAAGACAATCTGCCTTTTACTCAGCCTCAAGTCCAAAAGTAAAGTACTATTTGATGGATACGATTGTACTTATAATTTGAATCTAATCTCCAGTTCAAATTAATGACTTATTTTAGTGTGTCTTAAGTTCAATTCACAAGAAGACAGATGACATTTTACAACATTCATTTCACATCATAAAGAATAGCTCTCGGGAGACAACCATTGTAGGGAAACATGACTCTAGAGAGACTTCATCTTTTATTTTATAGTACTCATCACTCATCCCTTTTTTTTTATCACAATCAATGAATAGAGAACGCGCATAATGATAATTTGTTCAAGCAAATCACTCTAGTCAAGTGTATCGGTACCACAGACGACTTAAATACAGAAGGTAAAACAATGAAAGGAATACTTTAGTTATATGTTTTATGACAGATATAGTAACACCTTCAATTACCTTTCAAACAAATAGGAACGTTTTTGTTTGATGCGATTATGTTATAGTGTCGTATGAAGAGTAGAAAATTTGTAAAACTTTAAGATTATAGGTGTCAGACCACCAATTCAAGATCCTTATCTATTCAACCACATTTTGCAATTTTCACAGCTTTCTTAAAATTTTACCTTATGTTTAACTTCATAGAAACCAGTCATATCCTGAATTGTACATGTATCGCCTTTCTACATGCCAATTTTCAACCCATGTTTAAAGTCTTCTAAAAAAGAACTGCCTTTCGGAAGACAAGTAAAAATAACCCCTGGTTTTCTAGAAATCTTAAATTAGTATACTATGGAGCGCATTAATCCTCAATTTTTAATGCAAACTCATAGACAAGTAAATTTTGGCTCAAAATGGTCTAAATATATTTCCCTTTCATCAAAAGTTTCGTTTCTGCAAATGTGTTGGTTAGTTTAAGTAAACAATGACATCAAAAGCACTATTTTGTGTCAGAGTAGGGCTACTTTTACGTTCTAAAGTAGGGGGAGTGAATTGGTGGTCTGACACCTTATATGCATACTTTCCAGATTCTTTTTATCTTTGATATGATTATAAGATTTGTAAATGTTCTCTACAGAAAGTAGTACATATTTAACACAAAATAGTTCCTACGCATGGGTGTAACTTACAAAATATGTAGAATATTTAGGTAATTTTGGTATCAAATGAAAGCTGAATTACTGGTTTTCAATGTAAAACACTTTTTGACCTTTAATTTTGAATAATAAAAAAATTGCATAAAATTTTAAAAAGAGGGTACATTTTGCCTGTTTGTCAGATCTGAAGTACCTGTTTTGGTACATCCGAAATTCCGGGAACCAGTTCTTTGTTATATGCCATTAAAAGTATGTTGATTTTTTCAGTACAAGACACCATAAAGTGTTGCTTTGGCATGCAATTGATTGTCACTTTATTTGAAATTAAAACAAAAGAGCTGTGCCTGCTTGAAATTGAGGAATTTAACATAGAAAGCAATGGGGCCATAAATAAGTGGTGTACTTCCTTATAATATTTGTGATGTGATGATTTCCTGTCTTCATTTTTATTCGGAAAAATTGTTATTTGAACATATTTTAGCGATTTTTAGTTATGTTAAATTATTACTGTTACAAAACGGCTTAGAAATTAATAACATTAAAGGTACCAATTTTACTACTACAGATGCGCATTTCGATAATTAATGTCTTTTCAGTTATGTGCGAGACCAAAATATTTGAAATTCGAAAACATAATATAAAGACTGAAGAGCTGATAAACCCCCCCCCCCTCCCCCCCCTAAAAAAAATGTAAATCCAAACCAGGGCAAGGAATCGACCTTAAACACAGCTATGAAACGGTGCTGACGCAAACCATAAACATGTTGTCCAGTGGCAAATGGTTGTTGCAGCTTTCCAGTAATTAAATGTTAAAATATGATATGATCAAAAACTGAAGAGTTGTGGTGATTGATGATTGCCTTACATCATCTGACATGCTCACATTCTTCTATTTTTGTATTTGAAAAGTAACTATCTAATTGAAAGGTATACCATATCTGATATTCTTTTTGTAAATGAGAGTTATCGCATATTTCAAAGTTGGCTTGAAAATACGTGTTATATAATTGTAACTGTTTGTGTTTTGTTTCCAAGTTCCCTAAAATAGACGTTTGTTCTTCATAAAGACATTTATTTTGTCAATTACCAGTTGTGTTCTTATTATATTTGACTTCTACATGATTTCAATTACAACTAAAATTAATTGTTTCGATGTACTTTTCTTTGAAATATGAAGTACAGTAAGTTGTTTCAATTATCCTCCTTTAGATAGGTATTTCCATTCTCAATTTTAGGGATTAATAAGAAGGATCGTTAAGCTACAAGGTCTCTCAATTTGTTATCTAGAGCTTTATAGTAATCCACAATCTAAATTTCTTCAAGTCTCTTGTATTATATATTATATATATTTATATAAATGAACTGTACGTGCAGACATGATTAAACTGGCAATTTCCATTTCTTGTTGTGTGCTGCTTAAGACCCTGAAGAAACCGTGGAGTTGATTAATATCAATTCTTTTAAGTAATCAGGCTTATTAATCTAATCTTAAATTAATTAGCAGTGCAGTCATTACAAAACTATTGATTATCTTACGAAGATATTGAAGTTTATTTTGACTCAAGCAAACAAACGAATACGTTTTTAAACACTGTGGGACTGTTGACTACTAAATCATTTAAACAACAGAATATACAATGGATTACATACATGTTATGTTTATTTTAGGTTCCACCTGTGCGGGCGTCGATCATGGAGGGCTATCGAAATTCACCGGCACAGCCCTTGCTGGACGTAAGTGATCATGATCGAGAACGACCCCTGTCATATTCTTCTGATGAGGAATCGAGTAATCCTGCAACACCATATAAAAAAGTAGAGGACAAAAACAAATCAAATGGGAATAGTTGTGCAGACAGTGATGAGATCGAAGGGAATAAAGTAGAGAAAGAAAGCAGACAAAAGAAACATGCAAAATTTGTGTCGAGCTTGTCTCCAAAGATAACGCGATCAGATTCAGTAAAGTTTGGAAAATCAGCCAATGGAAATGCAGGTCGAAAGAACTCTCAACCAATCGGAAACTCTACACCTCCAAAACCGTCCAGACGTGTGCCAAGTTTAAAACTTAAACGTATGAGCATTGAAAGGCATACAGACAAATCAGATTCAAATATGCCGTGTTTACCGAATTGTAATAAAAATAAGCAAGGAAATCCGTCAATAACGATCACAATAGATTCTGATGATGATTCTGTTTACAGTGATTACTTAAATACAGATATGAATTATAAAAATGACACGAATAAAGTGAAATATATTGGTGATCAAACTTCATTGTATGGGACACCAAAGGAAGAGCTTTTTACAAATTCTCAGGAAAATATGAATTATGAGCAAAAATCTAGTCCAACCTCATTCCTAAAGGAACAAATTGTGTCTTTCTTTCAACCATCGGATAATAAACTTGCAATGAAACTCTTTGGAAATAAGAATGCTTTGATGAAAGAAAAATTGCGACATAAACGCGTTGGGAATTGGGTTATACATCCATGCAGTAACTTTAGGTAAGTAGCTGTCGCATAGTATATGGGTAGTCAAAGTATACGATATAATTCCCTTTTTATATATTGTAAACATTTCTGTAATTGTGTTCTCTTCAACACGTCTGACGGCACTTTCCTCGGTTTAAAGCTTGTGCAATGCGCAGGGACAACTGCAAGGTCAAAGTCTATTCCGAATACACGTTTTATAGACATTCACAGCGTCGCTCTAATTAATAGGCGAACACTGAGCAGCAGTTTCACATTAATAATTTTTACATTTTAGTTACTCACAGGGGGAATAAAAGTGCTGGCACTATTTACATGTTCTTGCTTTGTGGTTTTTCTTCCTACACAATTTAATGCTTTTTCGAGTACGCATATCTGATGACCGTTTTTTTTAGCCTACAAAAAATGGAAAATGATTTCAAATACTGACAATGTAAAATGTTGATGTTATTGTTTCTGAAACTGAAAGTAATTTCAATGCTTCGTAAAACTGAGCCAAGTGGTGATGGTCTATCTAATCTTGTAGCCTAAACTCTATCATAATCACTTCTGTTCCAGTTGATATCTCCATCCATGCAGACTTAAACCAGCTACTTCGAAAAAAATTGTAGATCAGAGAAATTTTTAGAAATACCTTATTTAAATCTTTTCTTAACATTTAATAAATGTAATATAAATCTCTTTTTACTACGTCATTTCCCAATAGTCCCATACAGCAAGATTTTCTGGTTATTGAGATATAATCTTTCCAACAATATCTGGCTTTTGTTTGTGCATGCATCAATGTCACATTTTTGATTAAACGTTTAAATGTATTCAAAAGCAAGCAAGCATATGACTCTGTTCCCATAGGAGCATGAACAAATACAGATTCCAAGAGATATCTATTAATTTTTCGAGTTTAGTGTGCATTTCCGTTAAAATTAGTGAAATAGTGAATCAAGACAAGACATCTTAGACGTTCAGATTTACATGTTCTTGTAGCCTTGTCTAGATTGATCTTTAAAGTTATCCTATCAATACAAGGTGCAAAGTCAGATGTACAAACATAAGTATAAAAACTACATATAGTGTAATCTATAATGCTTTTTGGAGCAGCCAGATGGTTAATGAAGTACACATTAAAACTCGCTGCTGCCCCATGCATTCTTTCAAATCTTATCTACAATTTTTCATGCGAGCTATTAATATGCAATTGATTTTGAACGTTGGTTATGCCAATTTTGTTTTATAAAACATCAATACTGAGTTTCGTGTTCCCAAAGAAAATTTTCTATGTATTATTCAAGTGTTTGGATCTGAAAGGTCAAAAGATCTGTTACATTGTCTATTTAGTCGATATTCCTTATATTTGCTTTAAATTTTAACGTGAACAAGCCTTTTGAATATACTAGTACCAAATGTCTTGTTTATACACTATTTATTGATTGTCCTTTATATCTTACTTTTTGACACTATTTTGAACATAGGTTATATATAAGCTATAGATAATTAGTTTTTTCAAAGTATGAGTGTGTAATAAATATGATTTCCAAGATCAATAAAAGCAATACAAACTATAAAAAACGTGACACATTTCAAATCAGAAAACTACCGCCCTGATCTATCACAAAGCAATACATAACAGATATGACAGACAGCAATCAACGACAACAACTGGGTAACAGGCTCCACTCTTGGGACAGGCACATCAAAAATGTGGCAAGATTAACAATGTTTTTGAACGCAGTCGCTCAACCCTCGGTCTCATAACCTTGGACAGTGTCATAGCAGCACACCATATACACATATGTAAAAATCAGTTCGAAAGGGTTTGACTCGTCGAATAGTCACGAAGCTCATGTTTTCCAAGGCTAAAATGTCAATCATGTAGATAATATTGGGTTGTATATTCGAAAGTACGACAAATGTATGTATTCTATATGCTTGAAAAAAATAGTTGAAAATTTGGTTTGAATTATGAAATACTCGTTGATATGTTTGTTTCAATTATCTTTGCTATACCTTAATAAAGAATATCAGATTATTACTTACTCGACACTAACTAAAGTCTTATACTTAATATAAGTTTGGAGCTCGCTTATGTCCTCTCCCATAGAACTTATTTAAGCTAGGGCAAGTAATACAAGATAGCAAATTCAAATAAACCCCTAAATAAATCTCGTATTAGAAATGAGGAACAACAATGAAATGCATGCTACACATTTGCACTGTGAAAAGAGGAAGTAATTTAAGTTCTGTCGAAATCCGTCTTGTGATTAGAAATTTGAATTGGATTCATAGATTTCACAATCAAATTAAAAAGGAGGCAAAATATACCAGAAGGACAATGAAAAATTATAAGTCGAAGAACACCCCAAGAATACCACGGATTAATAGGGGAGACTAGTATAACATTGGAGAAAATACATTGCAAATATTTTTCATAATAAAGCAAAAAACGCCAATTGACTCCCATTTGAGTCACTTTTAAAGATGAGACAAGGATTATTTAAAGAAGAAGTGGATTGAAAGACTATATAACTATTGAGAATTCGTGTTCAGTAATTTTAAGAGGGTGTGGATTGAAGATTATATTGTGGATGGACGGACAGACGTAATAAATATGAATAAATACGAAGAGGTACACTCACTATATATACATAAATATTCCTCCAGTTATGATATAATGTGACATGATATTTCCATATTTGCATTTGTATCTTAATGTAGAGCATTTTAAAAGTATTTAATCATAATATCAATAATGGATAACTAGACATCTAGAAGTAAACATACAGTCTTAAGCAAAAGATAAAATTGTCTATAACATGTCGAGCTCTGCATCGTCCCGAGTCTTAAAAAATGAATTTATTCGACAAAAAGTATCAAAATTCTGCCATAAAACCAAATTTTCTAAATGACAACAAATCAAAAATTAAGAAATGACTAAAGACACTAACGTGGTCCCGGAAAAGGTACTGGAAGATGAACATGTGACGCGATTAAAATGGTTTTTTCAATGTCATCCTTCTCTTTAACTGTCGGTCTTTGGAATAACAAAATTTCAATAAAGATCAGTACAGGAAAAGCTGTACACTTCGGTATAACGCCTTTCATACACTGAATTACAGATATCTATCGGCAGGTTAATAATACCAATATTTGTAATAAATTGAGCTAGCTTATCTGGTGATATTAAATATTACACAACTAATTCAGGGAAATAAATGCTACATCGGATTTCCTTGTTTCAGCTCAAATGAGTTAACCATATTGTAAATGATGTCCATTCGTGTCCTATGTGGCATGTTGATTATTTAGTACGCAATTCCATGCCTTTCATTATTAAAAACTATTGATTAACACAATAACTGATTGTGTAATTAATTTTCAATTTGACAATTTGACAATTATTCCGATTTTGATCTATCTACATACTGATATTTAGGAACTACCATTGCAAAGCCACTTAAAGGGGTATTAGCTACGAGATATACAAAAAAATAAAACATGATTTTTTTTGTGTTCAATCATTAATGAAAGTGAAATAGTGAAATAATAATTCGATTTTAGCAGCCAATTTGGTTCAATCTTGTCAAAATAAGCTAAGAAACATCATTGATGAATAATTTACTTGCAAGTGAATAATTCGACCTCATTGAATCCGTATCCATGTGACCTTCAATTTGACCCCTTAGCTGGAGATGGGTTACGCAAGACAAGACAAGACCAGACAATATTTTATTTAAGTCTCACCTCTTCATTTTATAAGACATACAAATTGTTAATAAAACATAATCATAATACATACAAGAGCCACTCTAAAAAAAGTTACGCATGTATTTAGTTATTAAAAGGAAAAATGTCAACATTGAAAGTGAAACAAGGATGAACCATTTAATTGACTGATTCGATCCGTGAAAAATATTTCTTATAAGGTAAAAACGATGATAAACATACTTTGTAACCTACAATATGAAATCAAACAGACCTAGAAAAATCCAATTGGACGTGGTCGCTATCTTTTTATATTTATGTTTATATCGGGTTATGTGACCGTCGGCATTCGTCGGAAGTCATCTCGATGGTTAATTAGATGGCGTCTAGTCAAAAATACACACGAAATACTGATACATACTATTGTCCCCATGCATTGTTAATTGTTTATTTCAGACTTTTTGTAATTTGGATATTCGTTTAAGTATGTTATAAATCAAATATGAGAATTCGAGTCAAATCGCTGAACATGAATTTGACAGCTAACGCCCCTTTAAAACAGATCATTGTGGTCCGTTAAAAAAGCAACTGTTATACCTACAGCACCGTTTTTTTTTATACTGTGATCTAGTTATTCTTTTAACTCAACTGACAGTGCAAATATTTATACCCATTTAGGGTGAATTTTAGTTTAATTTGGAATAAAGTTTTCGGCATATTTATACTTTGTAAATTGTGACAGAACAGACATTCTTGATGTGCCTGTCCCTAGTCAGGAGCCTGTAGTTCAGTGCTTGTCGTTGGTTCATGTCTGTCATAATCGTTTTTCGTAAATTGTTTTGTTATAAATTAGGCCGTTAGTTTTCTCAATTGAATTGTTTCATATTTTTCGTGTTGGAGCCTTTTATAGCAGACTATACGGTATGGGATTTTCTCATTGTTGAAGGCCGTACGGTAGCCTATAATTGCTTACATCCACTTCATTTCAACTTTGGTGGATAGTTGTCACATTGGCAATCATACCACATCTCCTTATTTTTATATTGGAGTAGACAATTATTATAGTTTACTTGCAATTGGTGGACATTGTGATAGTTTGATTTTTGTCACCAACTTGATTTATTTTTTACCATTTAATTTTACAGTCAATTAATTCCAAGATATAAATGTTATTTGTTCGAGGTTAGAGATGGTCAAAAGCCCATTAAAAAAAAGCTATGCATTAAGTGTAAAATGCAGTTAGATCGGCAACAGTACACTCAAAAATGTATACATTTCTTTTTGTACTAGTATATGATAGCTTGTATAATATACAT